TCGTGATCAGTGTGAAAAGTACGTTTAATGATGTGTGCCACAAAACTAATAGGGAAAAAAAATTCACGCAAACTCCTGAAACGAAGGAGACTGCTAGGTGGACAAACCGTCTGTAAGATACATTTCACAAACTTTTATCAAACCATGAGGAAAACACTGATTTTTATCGGCAGTTCATTTTACATAAACAAATGCTACACAATTGTGAACTGGAATTAATTCATTTTCGTTATTTATATCACCCTCAACTGTCACGATATCAATATCTTGTTCAGCCGATGACGAAGCCACTAGCCTTGTTCTTCTATACTACTACCAGCTAGAAATATGAACCTTAATGATCTTAGAAAATCCATCGAATATCCTAAATAAATATTAAAGTCTGCGTATTTGTTCTACAAGTATGTAAAAGTCTCTCAAGGTTTTTAAAATTCTGATAATTACTGTGTTTCGATAAATTATTGTCAAAGTTGTCTTTGATAAGTATATGCGATGATATAGGAGTGAGTGATAAAGAAGCTTACTAACTTATATAACCCTGCGGATATTCGATAGGAGTACACAAAACTTACCCGAAAAATGTTACGCCTCACTCTCACTGAACGCGGTAAGCTAGTCTAAAATTATAAAGAAAAAACGAGAGCATAAAACTCGTGATCCACTGTACGCTCTACTTTTCTCAGCAAACCGTAAAACAGCGTATTTTTAAATTCCAAACTTATGTACGCTTTGCTGTTAGAAATAACAAGCTCATATTTTCTTTTTTCTTTTCCCAGTTCTATGACAGCAGCCGTACATACTATACGACAAAATTAGGACCAATGAACGACTGCAGCTCTAAGACCGTAAGAAACTGAAAATAGAGACATGATGGATAATCATAAACGAACAAGTATACGGAACTACTTTGCGCATTTAACGAGAATTAATCTCATTTTATTTGCTTAACGTCACTTAATGTTCGAAATAACATCCTACGTGCTATTCTTAAGGGCTAGTGCGATCGGGAATAAAAATCGTCGTCAAGTTACAAAATAGACGGAAAGATAGACTACAGAGAATTTTTCAGACACGTTTAGTTGAACTGATGCTACTTTGTAGAGAATTCTACTTCAGCTAAAAGTTCTAAATTTGAAAATAAGCGATATTGTGCGCTGCGGATCAGAGGTGGGCAAGTCAAGTCAAAAATGACTTAGGGGGGAGGGGGTCCTCCCACCACTTTGTAGAAGACACCCCGACGTATGTGTCCCAACAAAGCTTTCGGTTCCCGGATTTATAGTTTTTGACTAAAAAGACTTTAAGTTTTTTTCGGGGTTTTTACTCAGTTTTTAAAATTTCAATAAAAACTTCATTTTTAGATATGAAAAGTTGATCCCAGCGTAGTTCCATAGAGAACATTAATTTGTATAAGGGGAAATACTTTTCATCGTTCCCGAATGAAGTTTAACGCAGAAATTTAACGTACACCTTCCCGAGGAAACTTCAGAGCCAAAAGTGCGTTTTACCTCAACTTATGGCTAGTTTCGCTAGAACCATGCATTTTGAAGCAAAACTCTGAGTATAAAAGTTGTTCAGAATCGAATTTACAAATGGCACTTTATGCTAGTAGAGCACAGTGGGCATTTTCCCATAGAGCAGGCGGACATCTGATTTTTTGAGTTTATATGGTCTTACTATGTGTCAGATATTAGCAGAAGTAGAAAAGATCGAAATCGAAAAAAGATTTTTTTCGACAAAAAGTTCCTTAGGGGGACCCTTGCCCTGAATTTTTGTCAAAAAATGTTTTACTTGTAAAACTAACAAACTATACATCATTCGGCGTAGTTTTTCACGGTGATTCTGAATATGACTTTATGTTATGGAAAAAGTGCTCTTATGGGGGAGAAAAACGTGAATTACCCTGAAAATCCTATGGGTTTTTGTAAAATCAATAACTCGACTTAGAAAAAAAGACGAGAAAAGTCGAGATTATCATAAATACACGATAGGCTGAGGAACATTTTCATGTAATTAGAAGGTCTGTTCAGGCTTTTTAGCGCTGTCACTGCACCGAGGTTGTCTCATGTCGGACCGTAGTAATCTAGACTACTAGACCTTTTTTCGTTTCGTACAAGATGCAAAAAGAGTACCTTCTATTATCAGGAGATGCAATAGGTTGTGCTGATTTCGAATATGCGTTTTGGATAGGGTAATATTGCACGTCTGTACATAGAAATAAGAATCTCTGCAGATGTGTCATATTTGACGGTGTTTTTTGTGAATGTTCGTAAGTTAACTTACTCATCGAAGGAGTTCATTACTAGTCGATCATTATATACCATCCGACAGCGCTTTTCAAGGACTACATTTACTACTGTTCGAATTCAAAAAAGCTCACTTGTCGATTTTTGCTCAAATTTCCGCCTGAATGCCCACTGTGTAGAGTAGGCTAAATTAACGTTAATTAGTGCTAATTAGTTAATAACAGGAAGAAAAGGACAAACATTTTTGCATATTTTCTGGTAGAAAATATTCTCCACGGGTTTCTCTATCGATCTAGGCAAGAACCAAGTCTTTATGATGAATGTAGTATGGACAAGAACTTGTTTGATAATAGTCCCTGGTTCAAAAATTTAACATTATTTTTTTAAGTAATTAATTTTTTTCTTAGCCGCCACATAATGTCAGTAAGCCGAAAAAACTTCAGGACATATATTTCGAAGTGTTCTCTACAAACTGGGAACGTTAAAGCAAAATCTAAAGGAGATCCTCCCCACCCTTAAGTCAAGTCAAGTCAGATCATTTTTGACTAGACTTGACTTGACCTGAGAAATTTTTGATGACTTATGACTTGACTTAACCTGGCTTGAAAAGTTTTTAAAAGACTTGACTTGACTTGTGACATGGCATTAAAAATCAAGTCAAGTCATGCATATTTTTAAACCGCTAATGCAATCTGGTTTTAAATAATAATTCATAAGGATTTGGGAATGTTTATGTTATGATATATAAGAATTTACGCAGAGCCACCCGACGCGCATTTTGCAATAGTATAGCAAGTCTGTGCTCTATTACCAAGGAGTAGAAACCTTTTTATGCCACTTTCTATGGAAAAAAAGTTTTCAAGTCATGAATTGTGACTTGACTGGTGAAAAATTTATATTCCTCATAATTTGACTTGACTTTGCTTGTGACTTGGAAAACTCGTGACTTGCCCAGCTCTGCTGCGAATGCACTTACGTTATTAACAGTTTATCTATGGAGATAATATGTGACTACCCAGGTCATACAATTCTGATGAATATATTATGCGAAAACAGGTGTTCAAACTGTTCGTTGGAAGGGGTGGTTGAACTCCGTCTGAAATGGCGGTCAGAAGAGGAACAGAAACGATCGTATGAGCGGGCGTTCAAATGCTCGTTCAAGCTACTCGTTCGAACGGGTGGTTGAACTCCCTCCGACATCGGCGAAAAAATGTAATAGATAACTAATAGGTGAACGGGCATTAATAGACTATGTGGAACGGGCTGTTGAACTCCATTAAATGCAAACTTGCGAACGGGTGTGGAACAGACACAGTTGAAAATTATTTTGAACGGGCTCGGAACGGAGTTCAAAATTTTGAACGGGGTTCCGACGCACGTTCCATGTTTTTTTTCGCTCTTGATCACTGGTTTCTTCTTGTCTTTTGGTTTAAATTTCTTGCCAAGTGATTTTTGATGAAATTTTTCTTTATAGAATGCTGATGGAGTAATATAGAGATGGTAGCTGAGTGTCAGTGGCATTTTCGAACGGTTTACACAACATGGGCCATTCAGATCCGACATGTAAAAAAGCTATAACTTTTTTATTAGTTAATGTTTTTGTCGTTTTTAACTCGCGGGACATTTTCGCAGGAAAATGCCCTTTTCTTAGGAACAATTAAAGCTCTACAGTCAAAACTTTAGGAAAATGTTTAATATCATAATGTGATAAAATGGTAAAAGAGTGAAAGCCAAATGTTGGATAGTTTCGGAGATACCAGTAAAATATTTTTTAAAAACTGGAGGGATATTTAGTGTGAAAATAGCCATTTTTAAAAATGTTTTGTTCCTCATTAATGAAAGACATAATTAAATTAATTTTATTTTTTAATCAATATGTTACTCTAACTGTCAGCTATCTTTTCTATCAAGTTTTGACATAAGTTAAAATTAAAACTTTGTTTTCTCTATTAATATGAACTGATAAAGATAAAAAATGCCACTAGATGTAACTTTCAATCCTCTACTCAATCATATGTGAATTATTGTATTTGGTCAATGGATCAAAACGGAGGTAAAAACGAGTGGGAGACCGGCCTCAAATACAGTGCTTATCGTAAAATGCGTGTAAAATCATAAACAATCATCTGAAAGAGCTCAACGACGTCTCATTTGGTACAAAAATGTTTGTCCTATATCTGTGATGACTCAAAAATATTTTGTATGTCCAGATCTTCGAGATTTTTATCAAAATTTAGAAAAGTAAGAGAATGACAAAAATGCCTGTCTCCAATACTTGATTTACAGTACATTACCCTAGTGTTTATTTTCGGTTACATATAAATCGATGTAGAATCGCCTACTCTGAAAAATGAAGTAAGATTTAGTTTGGGACCGCCATATGCATCGCTGCACTTAAAAAATACTAAGAAAAATGCAATTGTAAAAATATGGAATATTTTAGTCTTTTATTATTTAGTCCTAGATAGTTAAACATGCTATTATGTGTAAATATATGATCTTACAGAGTAAACATTTCTCTTTCAAATGAGCTATGAATGAATCATAGGAGTTTGATAGTTTTCAGAAAATCAGAAAATACGAAAACTTGTGAAAACTCACTTGTTTTGGTAACAAGAGTGACCTCAACAGAGTGTTTGGTCTCTAGCTTTTAAAAAAGCACTTTCAGAAAGAGTTACTGCAAGGTTATTGGTTATTTTGTATACTCTTTCGTATCAGACAGAAATAAAACTAAAATAAAGTTTTCCTCCGCACAGCATGGTCAGTGCTGTGGCGGAGCTTCTCGTAAACAATTCCCAAAAAAACGATAAATATCAAAAACCACAAACTGCTCTGGAAAAGCGTATCCATAATATATTTCTGGAAGTATTCAATTTATCATCATCTTCTAACATTGATATAACAAAGTCGTTTAATGAATTGCGTATTTCATCCGTAGAAATGATGAAACTGTTGACAAAACTACGTCATAGTTTATATTCTAAAATAGATCTTGACTTTCTACTGTCAAATCCGTCCATCCATGAACTATCATTAACATTGGAACCCTTAATTGGCATCGATAATGCTGTAAAACTTCATAGAGAAGCTAATGAATGCGGCCAGCGGCCAACACCATCGTTAGTAACAGAATTATTGTGTATCCCTTTATTATTCTATGATTATCTCTATCCGATTTTGTTAATTAAGAGCACGATCATTGATTATAATGAATTGAAATCAGTATTTATCACTGGTCTGACATACGTGCTTTTCGTACCATTTCTGCAATTAACGCATTTTATACTATTAAAGCATGTATTATTTCCTAATGGAATAAAATCTGGTGAATACCAATTATATTGGTACAATTATTATTCATGTTTGTTTTTGAAACGTCTATGAACCTTCAATACGATACAATTAAATCTCCTACTGGGTACGCTTTTTTATAATTACTATTTAAGATTATGCGGAGCGCAAATAGGTTCAAATGTTCATATCTACACAACCGATATTAATACACCTGATTTGCTCATTGTCTATGATAATATTTATATTGACTCTGAAGTAATGTTAAATAATTTCAGTTATAATCATACAATCTTTGAATTAAATGTAATTCAAATTGATTCAAATTGTGCTATTTCTGTCCGCAGTGTTTTACATCATCGTGTACATTTAAAGCAAAATGTTTTAATTAAATCAATGTCAAGTGTTACTGGTACAGTTGAAATGAATACAATTATTAATGGCGATCAAAAACAACAACAGGATAATGATGATTTTCAATTATTACAAGATAAATTGAAGTTCATGAGTTTTAGTTTATCATTTGCTCAATGTTTTTACCAGTTTAACTGTGTAATATTCATTTTATGCTTATACGCTGTTCAGTTTACTTCAATTTATTTTGCTCATAATATTATTTTAATTATTCCATTTTGCTGGATTTTATTCTCATATATGTCACTTTTTTTTATTCTTCTCTTTCTATTCAAAATCGTTATTGGGCATGTTCAACCGGGTAGATATCAATTGAACTCATGATATTATTTGCATAAAATATGGTTTAGACAAATGATTTTAGCAGGTTTTGGACATTCACTTTATATTGTTGGGACTTTCATTGAATGGTCATCAATAATATTACGTTTTCTAGGCGCAAAGATTGGTCAAAATGTTAAAATCGGTCATTTGCAGCGTTTTCTAGTGTTGCCCTCAAACTTATTATCTGTAGAATCGAATTTCTCAAGCTATTATTTGAGGCTGTTGTTAATTCGAATGGAGAGTATATTTTGGACCACGTTTTTGTAGGTAATGATTGTATCATGGGTACTTATTGTACAATTCAAGTTAGCTCAAATATACCAGAACACACAATTATTGGGACGATGACAAGAGTTGATCCAAAAACAACAGTAGCAACGACAAGAACAGCTAATAGTGTTATTATTTTAGGTTTACCGGGCAAAGAGATGCCACTTGAATTTAGATTGTTATCATCGTCATCTATTAATCAAGAATTTGATTACAACGAAACTTTACTACGGCGACTATACATAGAAGGTCTCATAAACTTGTTCGTTCACATACTAACTAAACTAACTTTTAGCTTATCCGTATTCTGTTCAAGTTTTACCTTAAAAGTAATCTTTTTTAATTGTTCATATATCAATCACCTGCGTACAATTAGTTACCTATTCTATTCACCGCTATTAGTTTTGTTCTTTCTATTTTATTATTCGTCATTATATATTGCTCTATATCGCTTAATAACTAAGAATAGCTGGAAACCTGGTACATGTGATACTGAATACTCATGGTATAGTGATTTAAGATTTTGTTTATGGAATGATCATGGAGCAAGTGCAAGCGAATTTCTGATGGGAACACAATTTCTTGTTTATTTTCTTCGAGGTATAGGAGCCTCAATTCCTGGTAATGATGTAATTCTATCGGACTTGTATTATTTCTCTGATGCTCATTTGATCACAGTTGGTGATCATGTTAGAATTAGTTCTAAGGCCTCTATACAGGTAACAAAGATTTTGCATAGATTTCATAACTTAATATGTTTTTTGGCTGTTTCTAACCTCATACATTTGAAGAACGTGTATATCAAACAGCTTCAATAAGAATTGGAGCCAATTTGATACTAGATTCAGAGTTGGAACCGGTCTAAATATTAGAGGCCGGGCCGGCCAGTTCAGAACAGCAGACCGAGCCGGATCGGCCGGCCCAAAAATCTTTTTAGAAAGGCGAAAAACCGGCAAAAGATCGGCCGGTTTTCAAGAAATTTCGAGAACGGAAAAAAACCGCCAAAACACTGGGCGGTTTAGACGCTTTTATCAGTAAATCAAAATAAGTTTAATGAAAAAGTCATTTTCACTAGCTTTTTCATATTTCTGTTACTTGTTTATTTGAAGTTATCACTTTTCTGCACTGTCGTAACTCCAGTTTACAACAATATCTGCAACAGATTAAATAGTACCCAACAAACTGAGAATCAAACCAGAACGCGAAATATTCACAAACAAAAGAAATTAAAATTTCTTATTTTTTTAGCCAGTTATTATTTAAATATGCTTCTTTCAGAACTACTAACGATTCAACACATTCAGGATCTAATTGTGATCGTTGTTTAGTGGCAATTTGTGCACTTGTTGAAAAATGTCTTTCAGATTCAGCGGACGATGCTTGAATAACATAAATAGATTTTGCAATTTTAGCTAAGATAGGAAGAATTTGTTGTTGTTCTCTCCAGAAAACTAAAGGGTTATTGTCTTGTGATGAGCTGTAAGTTGCTGAATTTTCATAGAGTTGTATTTGTTTTTTTATTTCGTCTTGAAATGAAACTTGTGGTTGTGTGGAAGAATCACCAGATCGATTCGTTCGCATACTGGCAAATGGATCATCTTTCTTTATTTTCTCCAGTGGAGGTGTGAATGTTGTTGTTGCTACTGTTGTGGAAGCTGAAGAGAGAGATAACGAAGGAGTTTTCAGTCTTAGTCTTTAATAGTGATACGGAAAACATGACGCTAATACCTATAGCTAGATAGGGATTAATCCTTTTCCGTATCACTATCAAAGAATGACTAAGAAACAAAAGAAGAAGAAAATAGTCTGGTATGCTCTTATTTTAATTATAGGTTATTGCATGTTAAGTCATTTGTCTTAAATTTAGTGTCTGAAGAACAGGTCAGTTTTCTTCAACGAAGAAGACAAAAATGCTAAGAATTTAAAACCGGTCGATCACCGGCCGGTTTGAAAATATTTCTAGACCGGCGAAAGACCAGTGGAGACCGACCGGTCTAAACTTTTACACCGGACCGGCCCACAGTGGGCATCCAAGCGGAAATTTGGCGAAAAATCGAAATTTCTCGTTTTTCAAATATAAATAGTGCAAAATATAGCTCTTGAAATTCTCTATCGAATGGTGTATAAATGTCTATTTTGATATCC